TTTTCTTGAATACCTCAGAAACACATTCATACGAAATGAAATAATGATCATTCGAAATCTTAATTTGTAATATATTGACACTAGCGAGAACCCGTGCATACTGCACGGTCATTTTTTTTTATCGTCGAAAGCAAGTTTTTCATGAGAATGAGGTGATTATCGTGGATACGATCAAAATCTTCATTTCCGTTCTATCAAAACAATTTATTTTCATAGTTTTCATTTTATTTACAAACAACAAATTTACAAAATTTCTTTGAAAACAATGTTTTTAGTCCTATTTTTTTCAATGTTTTTTTCTTCTTTGATGAGTTGTATCTTGACAGACGTTTGGGAGCGAACTCTTGAAAAAGCAACGTATAGTTGTCCATGACTGAAGACTGGTTGGGGTAGGAGTAGTCCTAATCGATCAAATGTCTGTCCTTGCGACTTGTTGATTGTCATAGCAAATGAGAGTCGAATAGGAAACTAATGTCTACGTAATTTAAAGGGTAAAAATGGATCAGATGGTGCCAAAGTAATTCTTGGTATTAGAACACGGTTTCCTTTGTTGGATCCAGTTGCTACTTCACAATCAATCGTATGATTTTGTAAACGGCGTACAATGAGCCGAATTCCATTGCATAGACCTTGATTAACATCGAGGTTGCGCAGAAGCATAACAATTACTCCGATCTTTAGTTTAAGAATATGAGGAGGCATTCTTGATGGTGTGAGGCTATTCAAAAATTCTGTGGAATAGTTGGTTACGTCGTCACCATCTTCACATTCTACTTCATCCACACTTGTGCACACTTTTTCATTTCCGGGTAGTCGTTGAAGAACTTCTTCATTTACCAAGAGGGAATGCTCATTTTTTGGACACAGAATTATTCTGTTGCATAGAGTTGAAATATCTTCTGTAGAAATGTGTTGGCCAAATATCTCGTCGATCAAATTACCATCAAACGTGCAGGAGCGAGGTAATTCGATTTCATCATATTCGTTTGATGCTAATTCACCATTGCCAAGTTTAATCAGCCATTTTGAGAACTCTTCTTCACCTGGTCCTGTTCTCATATTTTGATGTAGATGCATGACCTTGAAGTAATGCCAGAGGTCAGAACTTTTGAGACTTACTGCCACTAATTCTGATCTACTAGCGAATCGAATGACTGGAAGAACTTGTCGAAAATCTCCACCAAGTATCATAATTTTTCCTCCGAAAGGTGCATTGATGTTCATTATATCTCTCAGCAAGATATCAACTGCATTGAGAGCATACGATGGAGCCATTGGTGCTTCGTCCCAAATGATAACTTCTGTCTTTCTAATTTCTTCAGCTTCTTTGCTGTTTGGTCGAATAATGGATGTAGATGTTTCTAAGATAGGCACAGGAAGTTTGAAGCGACTGTGTACAGTTCTTCCTTCAGGTAGTAAACTTGCAGCAATCCCTGTCCATGCAACTGTCATAACATGGACACCTTCTCCCATGAATAAACGGTACAGGGTGTTATAAAGGTAGGTTTTTCCTGTACCTCCAGGCCCATCTATGAAGAAACATGAGCCAATAGTGGTTGATTCTTTACGATGAGTTGCAAGAATATCATCTGCTGCTGAACGTTGATCTTGATTCAACATTGTATACATTTCTTGTCGTATTCGAAGTTCTTCTTCCTTGTTGATAATTTTTGGTTCAAATGAATAAGGAACAGATGTTGGTGATGGTATACCTAAATCACTGCAACTTCGGCCTTGCTCTTGCAGTTTTTCTTCGATTGCGTAAAATGCCATTGCTTCTGCTGTGTGAGCATTGACATGTTGCATGAAGTCCTTGGCCATATGTGCTTTAAATAAATTCCAGAGATCTATCGGTTTTGTTGGATTACAGTGTAGATGTATCACACAGAAAAGTGTTCTTAGCTGTTGTGGCATCTGGAACATAACTGCTTCAGCCATGCATCTTTTGTATTCAGTATCATCACGTAATAGGCCTCGTCGCTTAGCAGCTTCCATGAATGTTTGACAGACTTGGTCGTCTACTGTTTTGAGATCATCAAAAACAAAGTGATGTGGAATATCATGGTAAAGATATTGTCGAGCATCTGGATTTTTTGAATTTAATTTGAACCATGCAGTAAGTTTCATGTCTTTCGTAGCAGCTCTTTCCAATGCTTGTCGTTCATTTCCTTCAGCAAAATAAACCGGCTACTGATCTGGAAGATGGACGGCTAATCGAATAATGGCATGAGACTTGTCATGTAATGGAAATTCAAAAAGTCCCCTTGCAGCTTCAGGTGCACTTACATATCTTGCATCGAGATGTGCTTTAATTTCATCCCATTCCAATGTTGCTTGAGCGACAGCAGCACCTTCTTGAACTGGCCGTTGTAATTTAATGTTAGCACAATCATGTCCCTTGTAAATGTATTTAAATAAATATTTAATACTTTTCACAGTTGCACAAATTTCGACATTAACATGAGCATTGTATTTCATTAGTAAATATGGATTATATGGAACTATCCATCTATTGTCAACTTCATACTTGCCAACAGTCATAATAATTCCATTATCTCTTCTGTGATATCATGGATATCCATCCTTATTTGCCAGAGTATCATTTTGAAATTCTTTTTGAAATTCTTTTGAGAACTTGCCATCTTCCATGCAAGGAGAATGTGGGTGTAGTGTTCCACATGGTCAGTGAATCATATGCCTTCTCACGCATTCATATAATTGTGGAAATTGGACAGGATCTGGTATTTCACTGCAGACGATATGGTCAATGTGG